GTGTGTGTGTGTGTGTGTGTGTATGTGTATATATATATATATATATATATTATATATATTTATTTTTTTCAAAAACATTTTTTTCAATTGTCTCATGCTCAGCAAGGCTACATTTTATTTGATCAAACAGCATTCACTAGAAATCAAAATCTTTTGTAACATTATAAATATCTCTACTGTCACTTTTGATCCAAGTAATGCATCCTTACTGAATTTAAGTGTAAAAAAAAAAAAAACCTTGCTGACCCCAAACCTTTGTACAGTAGTGCAAGTCATACAAATAACTTTCTGTACAAAGTTAACTCATCCATGTCAATGTAATCCTTTAAGCGTTATAAAAATGTAAAAAGTTAATAATAATAATACAAAAATAATTCTCTTTCTCATGAAAAATTTAAAAAAAACTTTTTGTGGTTTAGGAATACCCAATAGCTTTGAAGCATGTAAATATGTTTTTCAGAATAAAGGCTTAACTAAAATTTGGACCTAAATCAGGAAATTATGAGCATGTAAAGGTGATTACTATCTGTATGATTGTGCTGCAGGCAGTAACTACAGTGAGAAGTGTGATGTGTTCAGTTGGGGTATTATTCTCTGGGAGGTGATCACACGCCGGAAGCCCTTTGATGAAATCGGTGGCCCTGCTTTCCGCATCATGTGGGCTGTGCACCATGGTAAGTGTTACGTTTGCCCCATCTGAGACTGTCTTTTGGTTCAAGATTAGAAGCTTCAATCATCTTTCTTTCTGTAGGCACGCGTCCACCTCTCATTAAGAACCTACCGAAGCCCATAGAGAGTCTGATGACTCGTTGCTGGTCCAAAGACCCATCGCAGCGGCCTTCCATGGAGGAGATACTGAAGATTATGAGCCACCTTATGAGGGTAACGCCACACCGCCAGCATGCCTGGCAAATCATCCCAGTGTTCCTGACTGTCTATTCTGCATCTTATTTAGCCTCTTCAGTCTGATCCCTCTCTCCTCCTCTAGTATTTCCCAGGATCAGAAGAGCCTCTTCAGTACCCTTATCAGTATTCAGATGAAGGCCAGAGTAACTCTGCCACCAGCACAGGTACAGAATAACATAATAGGTTTGAATAATAAATACTTGTTCATGGCTATTTCATTTTATTTTGTTCAAATAATTTTCGGATGGTGTGGGTGAGAAAACAAATAGTTTAGATGCTTTGACTAAATTCTTCCAGACTGTTATACTACCATACAAAAGTTTGAGGTCAGTAAGTTATTTAATAGAACATTATTGAATTTATTCAGCCAGAATGCAATAAATTGATAAAAAGGAACAGTAAAAGCTTTTACATTGTTACAAATTATTTTTATTTCAAATAAATGCTGTTATTTTATGTTACATTCAAAGAACCCTGAAAAACATATCAGAGTTTTCACAAAAATATTAAGGAGCACAACTGTTCTCTATTAAGTAGCACAACTCAAATATGGTAGGACATTTTACCAAATTAGTATATTAGAATGATTTCTGAAGGTCAATGTGACACTAAAGACTGCTGAAATAAAGCCTTAAATATATTAAAATAGAAAATTTATTTTAAATTGTAATAACATTTGTGACCCTGGACCACAAAACCAGTCATAAGGGTCAATTTTTTTAAATCAAGATTTAAATCATCCACTGAATAAATAAGCTTGACATCCATTGATGTATGGTTTGGTAGGATAGGGTAATATTTGGCCGAGATAAAACTATTTGGAAGTCTGGAATCTGAGAGGGAGCAAAAACTCTAAATATTGAGAAAATCGCCTTTAAAGTTGTCCAAATGAAGTTCTTAGCAATGCATATTACTAATCAAAAATTAAGTTTTGATATATTTATGGTAGGAAATTTACCAAATATCTTTATGGAACATGATCTTTACTTAATATCCTAATGAATTTTGGCATAAAAGAAAAATCTATAATTTTGACCCATACAGTGTATTGTTGGCTATTGCTACAAATATACTAGTACTACTTATGACTGGTTTTGTGGTCCAGGGTCACATTTCACAATATTTTTACTGTATTTTTGATCAAATAAAGCCTAAGAGACTACTTTCAACAATTTAAAAATCCATTCTTACCACCCCAAAACTTTTTAATCACAGTGTACTGTATATAGGTTTGTTTTTGTTTTGAATCATTTTAGAAAGGTACTGAAGTCAAACTTAAAGTTTGTAAATTTAAATAACACATCTCTCTAATCCAGGCTCATATATAGACTACACATGTACCAGCAACAAGAACGATATCAACATGGAGCACACCAACTCCCCTGGCAGCAATGACACCATCAAGTTCCCATATAAACCAAAGGTAACACATCAGTAGTCTTCATAACACACAAAGACAGTGTCCTCTAAGAAAGCTCAGAAGTTGAATCGGTATTTGTGTGTTTCAGGGCGACCCGTTAAGGCCTGGTCACCCTCTCTCCAGAGGGGGCAGTGTAGAGAGTCTTTCTGGCAGACCACATTGTTTGGCTTCCTCTGACAGCAAACGAATGAGCGCCGATCTCTCCGAACTGGAGCACAGATTGCCCTTTGCTCCCGCAGGTAACATTTGCATCCTCAGTGCTAAAGCTGCATTCCTTGCCAGAAATTCATTATGAGACAATGACATTTTACAGTTCATAAATACATACATACATAAGTCAGTTTCATTTACCATTGATTTATTAATGTGGAGTTTTTTCTCTTTTGCAGTAGACACAAATATTGATATATTGATATAAACTCCACACCTTTCTATTCCTGTTATCAATTTTGTCCTCAGGTTGACATGTTAACAAAGAACACACACCACTAACAATGTCCCTTTTATAGACATTGACCTCACTTTTCTGTATTTGCACTGTATATTTCGCTGATCTCAGCCAGTGCGCCCAAACACACATCAGACACAAAAAGCTGCATGGCATCTCCATTCCTCCTTTGATCTGTCTTTCTGCAGTCACTCGTTCCAGCAGGCTTCCCGCCTGTGCACGGATGTATGTGCTTTGTGTACGTGTTTGTATGCGTGTTGCATGTATGTTCTAATGCAGCTGAAGAATGGAGCAACATCCCTTACCCAGTCTGCCTTGCTGTCTGCACCACCCTCTCTCTGTCTCAGTACACACATTGTCTGCATGCCTGTGTTCGTCGCTACTTGCGCGTGTCTGTGTGTGTGTTTTTGCAGCACGTCCACAATTTAAGCGAGGTCACCGTAAAACGGCATCACATGGCACCATTCTGGACATTCCCAAGATCATCGTCACAGGTACCGGGAGTCCAGGCGCTCCCAGCAAACAGCTTCTAATCAGAGAAGGGCGTCACTGTGACGCACAAGCACGCATTGGTTGTTACTCCAGAATGTCTCAAATCCCTCATCACTCTGACTTAGTGGAAAAGAGTAGAAAAAGATGTTAAAGAACATTAACGTATGATCATTATCCAAACACTTGCATACACATGCATTTGTGCTATGGAGATGCATGTCGCAGTAATGCGTAATTACTACTGTGGTAGAAATTCTTGATTGGGGGTCATATAACCTTATGGTTAGTTTAAACCGTATTGAAGCCATATGCTCCAGTTGATCCGCTGAAAAAGTAAGTTGGTGCAGAACCATTTGGTACTTAATTATTTAAAATAATATAATAATTACAAAATGTCAAATGGTGATGGAAAATGCATCAATTGACTGACACAGATACTGCAAAAAGGGCAAATAAGAATGTTAACCCAGGGTTTAGGAGTGTGTGGTGTCAAACATAAGTTTATGAATATCCAGGATTAATTGTTAACCTCGGGTATATTATGAGCAGTGTGAAACGTGAAGAAAGATGACCCAGGTTTCTGTTTAGGTTTTGGAATAACCCAGAATTAACTTGCTTAAGTGTGAAAAGCCCTTCTGAGTGCAGTCTCTGTAAAATTAATTTAAAATTTTATCCTAAATTTTAAATCTGTATGCAGTCATCACAAATGACTAGAAATTCATGAGTCAGAAAGTGTGGCTTAAATAATACAGAACTAATTGGCTTGATTTGTGCATGCTGGGAAATAATCCAGTTATGATCAATTAAAAATGACAGTCAAAATGGTTTCATGACCCCTGCTCTAAATGATTATTAAATTAGTGTTTTATTCTTTGTGTCTTTGTATTTAAATCCAAAAGCAATCAGTTACATTTTCTATATTGATCTTATATCAGATCTTTCCAACAAGTATTTTTTGTGTCAGATTTGATGGCGTATTGTGATCCTGGAGTAACAACCATTCCGATCTCTTCTTTCTTTCTCTCTCTCTCTTTGCTCTTTTTGATTGTAGTGAACTGCGGGCAATGATTTTCACACCCCATCCTCATGACTGCTTCTGCCTCAAAGAGGCACCTTGTTAATGCTTTTTTTTTTTTTTTAATCAAGAAAATCCCATAAGCAGTGATTTAAAGTGATTCTCTTGATCAGCATGTGTGGTGAATGAGAGTGGAGATGGGGATGTGGATTGATTGGCTGCCTCAGTCTTCCTGTTTGGCTTTGTAGCAGGTGAAAGAGGATCAGCCAGCGTTCGTGTTTGTGTGTGTCTCTCTCTCAGTGGTCGTACACTAGCTCACCCTTGTCTCGCCTGGAGAAAAGATATCGCCAAATGCTCTTTTTTGTTCTTCCCTCCTCCATACACACACTTTCATTAACTCGTTCATTAATTCGGTGGATGTGGTTGTGATAAATCTCCTTCACATTGAGGGTCATCGCTATTATTATCTTCATCATCCCTAATAAAGCTGAAGGAAATGGGGACATTGAAGGATTGCAGAGTGGGAAAAAAGCAGGAGTTGCATGATGAGGAGGTTATTAATTTGGTGTAACAATGAGAAATCTGATTTGCATCAGAATTGTATCCCTCCTGCATGCAAGCTCTTAACCTGTCAATCATTTTTGTTATTCCCATAATCATTTTGACATGAAATTGACCTCATCAGTGACAATCATTATTAATAATAAAAGAGTGTTAAGGGCATATTCATTATAGAGTATTAATTTTTTTCTGCCATTTTTGTTGTAACATTTTATTTTTTATTTTTTAATTGAGTTCTTCAATAGGCTGATATCATTGCTTAAGAGAGATTACATTTATATTAAAGCAAATATTACTGGTTAAATGCAAACTAGGGTCTACCAGCAGTAGGGCTGGGCGATAAATTGATAACGATAATTATCGCGTGATATAAATTTCCTCGATAAACGATAACAAGAGGTCGATAAATTTTCGAGGCAAAGGCGGAACGAAAGAGCGCGACTCATTTGAAGCACGTCACTCGGACCGTTTATCCGCTCGGATCAAAGTTTAAACGGTGGTGTGGCGCTTCACTAAATCAGATGTGTTCAGTCGCTGATGAGTCTCGATCAAACGATGCTGTGAGATCCAGTGCGAAGCGCTTGAATTCAGCGAGGAACACAAATAACTCTGTTTACAGCCAGATGATACAGCGCTGACAAACAGGAGAAACACTGTTTCTAATACAGTTAGAAGACTTTTTAATCTACAAATTGCCATTTACCATAGATTTACTGTAGTAGCACTAACTGCACCATGGTATTGTGTCAGAAATGTGGGTATTTGTGTCGAATTTATATTATTAATGTAGACATGTTTTAAATGTATTGAAGGAGGAGTAATGGAATATAATTAGAGTATTTTTTTTGTGATTAAGCTATAGCGTTTATTTATACTACATTTATTTAGACTAGCTACTGTTTTTCATACAAATACCTAAAAACCATATTATATTTTTGCCGTGGTATTGAGGTGCTATATTTGTGGTTTTAACTGTGATTATCCTGATCTAAATGTATGCTACTATGGAAGACCAGTGGTTAATTTAAAAAAAATAATAATAATAAAAACTCAGAGTCAGAATAATTACATTTCACCATATAAAAATGAGGTTGCTACATTCAAAAACATGAAGTGTTTGTCGTGTTCTGACCATAAAGAATAGTTTAAAACCACAATTAACTGTCTGGTTTTTACAACATTCACATTGGAGCAAAAATCTGCCTTTAAACTTGAAAGAAATAAAAATTTGACATTTATCGTGATAATTATCGATATTGACTGATATGAAAAAACATTATTGTGATCATTTTTTGGCCGTATTGCCCAGCCCTAATCAGCAGTATCTGTGGCATACAGCTGATGAATGCAGACAATCATTTTAAAGGGGTCATATGATGCTGCTAAAAAGAACATTATTAGAACGAGCCGTTTTAGGAGGGTGTGGTTAACTCTTAACTTTTATAAAGAATATCTCTTTAGTTTTGAGACTTTAGTGTTTGCAACTTTACAGATCTTCTTTATGCACCAAGAGCTTGTAACACTCCAAAGAGAAAGGAAAAATTGAAATCGCATCATATGACCCCTTTAACTCGTCTTTCAGGTTTTAAAATGCATTTAAAGTGATGATCTTATTCAATTTACATCACGATGCATCGTTTCTAACATATTTGCATCGCGGTTTATTTATGTATAATTAGTAGTAGATGTACTATACTGTTATTATTTAGAAAGTAACCAATAATTTGTGATCAATATTTTATATGTAGATTGAATTCTCTCTAAACTGTTTTTCAAGCGCGTTCTCTCATCACCACTGCTGCTATATGAATATGGCGTATCACAACCCTACAGAGACCGAGGCGTCAGAAGGCGCTTAATTTATGATTTTCTGTCTGTCTGAACCAAAGAAATAAAAGCGAACTCTCTTTACTATATTGAATTGCATAGCATCATATTTTTTTCCATTGCATCGTATTTCATTGAATCACATTGTGTTTAATCGAATCGAATAGGATCGCCCTGCATCGTAATAGGGGTGAATCGTATCACATCACATTGGTAGCTGCTTCAATTGTATCTTTATTGTATCGTTGGCTATGCATCGCGATGTGTATAACATCGGCCTCCGTTATGTAGATGCACATCCCTTTATATACAAATATAACACACACATATATATATATATATAATTTTTTTGTTTGTTTTTGATTTAGTTAAAGCATTTTTTTTATTATTTAGGAGTATAGAAACGATCTGTAAAGTTGTCTACATCATCCTTTTGAGTTAGGGATTATTTTTTAGGTGGTTACCAACATATTTGCTTTGGGTGGAGTTTTGCTTTACAAATAGTTAAATCACATTCCTTCATTGTATCATTGTGAGGATGTAAAGTGAAAATAACAGGGTTTACTTTTTTAAGGTTGGCATGACTTTAGTTGAAAGGTTGGATGCAACTTTGCATAGATCAGGTTAGTAAACGATTGTCACACCTGTCTTATGCTAACTTGTAAGACTATAGTTAAACTTTTAAAACCGTGAATGGTTTCAATTTAAAATTTTATTAACTTCATTGTTTCCTTACACTGCAGGATGAATTAATTTTTTTAATTTGTCAACCTGCCACAGATGTTTGTAGAGCTTCAGTTGTATTTAACCTGGAATATTCCTCCTAAACATTTGCATCATGTATTTTCTGTAAATCATATTTAGTAAGTCACAGTCCATCGTTTATGGTTGTATTTAATTTCTGCTGGTACTATTCTAGATGCTCTACCTGAATTATAGTTTGCCTACAACGAGATTTGTTTGTTTTTGTTTATAGGCTTTAGTAAGCTTGTGTAATCTTCTAATAGTCATGATTGAGAGTACAGCTCCTATCATCATTGCTGCTTCATGTTCTATAAATACAAACTTATTAACTTCCAAACCCAAAAAAATCATCACTCAATGATAGGAGCTGTCCAATCAGTGCAGGCCAAGCTGCCCGTGTGATTCTGTAGGTGTGGTCTACTGATTTTGGGGTAAGGTGTGTGTGTGTTTTGCTGGGATGGCCTTGTGAGGGGTTTGGTCACGTGAAGGCCACGTTAGAGGAGATCCTGTCATGGTAGTGAGTTGGGGATTTAATCAGTGCAGCTGTCTGAGTGTCACATCCCTCTTGCTCCAGCCCTGGGACGAGAGCTCATGCACTACAAAAAAGACTTATCAGATTCCTCTTTTCTTTCCTTTCTCTTTCTTTCGTCTCTTTTTGCAGCAACCTGTGAGCCTCATAGACGCAGTTCAGTGCAGGACCTTCCTGCCATTGGTACGGAGTCCAGTCAGGTAGGATGCTTCAATTTTACAATTTCAGTTGTGCAATGTTTAAGGAACTGGGAAGAGTTTAGATGCGATCTTTACAATAGTATTTTTACAGCCAGGTAACTAGACGCTGTTCCATGTCTTCTGTGAAATAAGCGCTCTCACATCTGATTATGCACTGGGAGGACACAATAGTTTATCAAATAAAAAAAAGAAAGCAAGAATGTAAGATCTGCTTTGTAAAAGAAGACGGAGGAGTTGTGGGTCTAGATTTTCCCCTGGGGGCTTTTGAACGGTCAAATCCTTGTCACACTTGTCCTCAGTGCTCTTGGGAAAACAGTAGTATTTAAAATGCCATTTATTCCTTTGATGGCAAAGCTGATTTTTCAGCAGCCATTACTCTAGTAATATTATTGTCAATGTTGAAAACAGTAGTGCTGCTTAATATTTTTTGTGGGATGATTTTTCCAGGATGAATGGAAAGTTCAAAGGAACCACATTTTTATTTGAAATAGAAATAATGTGTAACATCATGGTCTTTGCTGTCACGTTTGCTCATTTTAATGCATCCTTGAATTAAATTTTATTTCAACTTGAATACTAAGACATATTAATGTAAGATATAATTTCCTCTCGGAGTGTGTGAGAGCAATTAAAATCCCAGGTAAGACCCTCATTTTTAAAATGAATTGTAAGGATGTTGCACACTTTGATAAGGGCCTTTTATGAAAGGATTCGTAGCATCTTCTTCCTGTAGTGCTCTTCAAGAGCCATTGGAATCTACAATATTTTATTGTCAGTATCAAAATTTTACCTTTTTATATATATATATATATATATATATATATATATATATACTATTTCTTTTTTGGGTGACTTTTTATCCTTTTCTACTTTGTTAGATTTGTCTAGATATATAGCTGACATATTGTTTGACCAATTACAGGATAGTAGGAACAACAGCAGATCATCCAGTCCCAGTGTGAGGATGATTACGCCAGACAGGACAGGTAGAGTCTACAGTTTTCCTCCTAAGCATCAAACACTCACAAACACACACACATCAACATTTAAAAATGGATTGTATAAATGTTTAATAACTGGTAATCAGCTGGGGTTATAGTAGATACATTATTATATGACCGCTTTCTGCACATTTGAAATTACATCATTGCAGATTGTGACATTTTGTAAAGATATTTCTGAACACGCTGCTTATGTTCCCTCAGTGTGACCTCAAAGTTCACGTCCTCGGTGTGTTTGTGTGTGTAAATCAGTATCAGTGACAGTAAACGGCTCAGACGTTACGTAAGCGTCATCAATGATTTAAGATGCTTTTCTGTCTGACAGTCGCAGTCCTGGACTGAGATGAGACTCGGCTATTTATTGCTGAACTCTCACTCTCTTTCTGCGGATTACCAGAGTTTACTATCAGCCTTACACAACAAACTAAAAAACACTTTGTTGCATAGGGGGGCTGCTTCAGATCTACTTCAGGTCCAAATATTATAAATAACCAGATGGAATAAATCAGATCTTCTGTCCTCAATTCATGGTTTTCTGATGTTTCCTCATTCTTGTAGACACCAATGGCTCAGATAACTCCATCCCCATGGCCTACTTGACCCTGGACCATCAGTTACAGGTACACACTTCTAGGTTGAGGTATCGGAGAGAAAATTATAGATGTGAACGATATGATATACAGAGTTTGGTATGATTTTGGCCACCAAAAATAGGCTAAAATGATGAAATACTACTTACTAAAATGTAGCATTTTCTGTTTCAGTTTTCAGCCCAGTCTGTCCAAAATTTACATTTTGATTTTCCGACAAAAATTTTCATTTTGGTGCATCGCTGAAGTATTGTGAAGTATGACTGCACATGCATGGAAACTGTTTAGTCTATATCTGTTGTCTGGATGGTTTTGTTTCCAGGGTGCTGTGGTATCCCTCCTCTCAGAAAAAATTCCCAAGATGTAAAAACAGCCCTCTAATTGAATCAAGTCTGGGTTACAGTTTTAATACTATTTATATGGTGTAATTCAGTTATAAATACATGGCAGCTAATTGAGAGTGAGGCATTTTTATATTTTTGGAGTTCAGGCCATAACTGGAATAATTATCACTTTTGCATTTCAGATTAATTAGCCAAAAGCAGTGACATTTGATGAATGAATCTGTGTTTGTTTGCAGCCTCTAGCCCCGTGTCCAAACTCCAAAGAATCAATGGCAGTATTTGAGCAGCACTGTAAGATGGCACAGGAGTACCTGAAGGTGCAGACAGAGATCGCTCTTCTCATACAGAGGAAGTAAGTGAGGAATCCCAATCAAGTCAAGTCATTAGTTTGTACAATGGGTTCCTTGGGGTTATTATTATATTATTATATATTAGATTGTTTGAGTTGAGCACTGAAATTATTAATGTGAAATAAAAGTAAACCTAAATAGTAACAAAAATCTGTACAAATGTACACAACAAAATTACTAAAAATAAATTGAAAGTAAAGTGAAAATTGAAAATATAAGTTTTTTTTTTAATATAAACTTTAATAGTATATAAATAATTATTCCGTATATCAGTGAAATTTCACAATTTTTTATACTAATTCTAATATCGCAGCTAGAATTTATATATGTAAAAGGTTACACTGTTATTTTAAAATGGTAAATATGTAATCTATTAAATAATCACGTAATTCATATAATTATTTAAATATTTATACTCCATAATAATAATAATTCTTATTCAATTTCTAAAATAAATATTTAAAAATGTTAATCAAATTGTGTATATAATTTTTGTTTCAAATATGGTGAAATGCATTATTTACTTAAGTTCTCAGTTGTATAATGTTGTTTGATTTTGCTCCTCCTGAAAATAAATCGTCCCAAACCTGTATGAATTTCTTTCTTCTGCAGAACACAAAAGAATATATTTTGAAGAATGTTGGTAACCAAACAGTTTTTGTTCCCAATGATTTCCATATTCATATTTTTGACCATACAGTGGAGTTAAGTGGGAACCGAAACTGTTTAAATAAAGGGATAGTCCAACCAAACAAATAAAAAAGAAAACAGGGTTGATACAAATAGCCTAAAACAATTGAATAAAGATACTCATCTTTGGCCTAGAAGCATTGCAAGTATCTAACAGGTGTATCAATTGTTCAAGTAGACATTCAAAAAACATAGAGCTGTCATGTAAAATTAAGCTGTTGTATCGTATTACACTAGCGTTATGGTCATTGCAACAGTTGTTGTTCAAACTCCATTAGTTACTGTTGAATGGTGTGTATGGTAAAGCAGAATTTAGCCTGTACTACATATTGTTGATTGTTGATACTAAAACAACAATACCAGTATAAACTAGATACCAAAGTCTTCTCTAATGTACATCTCTACAGGAAAGAGCTGATAGACGAGCTGGACCAGGATGAGAAGGATCAGCAGAACGCGTGTCGCCTCGCTCAGGAGCACAAGAAGCTCCTAGAGGAGAACAAGAGCCTGTCTACCTACTACCAGCAGTGCAAAAAGCAACTGGAGCTGATCCGAGCGCAGCAGCAAAAGAGACAGGGCACCTCATGAACACCTTTCATTATGAAACAGAGCTAGACTGACTCTATAATCACAGTCCCCGTTACCTTATCCTCCCCAATCCAAACATTGGGGTGGTTTATCTATAGTTTGGCCCAGAAACCCCTGAAATCTGCCTGTTTAAGCACCCCACCCCGGCCGCCTATGCACCCATGAAACCTGTGAAGATGGTAACCGTATGAAATGTGCTCCACAGTTCAAGCGACCGTGGGTCATTTCCCTGCGCATGCTGCGTTGCATGTGCCCATGAATCTAGCAGGATATGCAATAGCAGGGCCACAATTAAAGCCAGGTGGGTGTAAAACACAGACTGTTGGCCGCTGATAAACACACGCAGTTCTTCAGAGATCTACAAGTCTAAACGAGCCAGCAAACGCGTTTTATTTTCAAAAGAGGGCTTTTAAGTATAGAGCTGTTTAAAAGGAGGATGTAAAATGAGGTCTTTTGGAATGTCACGTTTTTCTCCTTCTTCCTCAAACATCCCAGAATTCCCTGTGGGGGTTGCCTCGTTCCCCTCGATTAGGTGTTGGTCCTTGACAATGTGAAAGCAAAGTTGCATACAAAAGCTAATTATATCATTTTAAAGTTAGATTTTTATTTCGTCGCATTCACTTTGCGTGTACTTTCCTTTTAACCTCTTTTTATGCAAAAAAAAAAAAAGTGCTGGAGATGTTTCCCTTTTTTGATTTGTCTGCCCTAAAAAGTGTTAGAATGTATCGATTGAAATCGGGGGATGTATCTTACATATGCCTTGCATGTCTTCCTTGTGTTTATGGACAAACAAGGGACGATCTGTGTGTATGTGCGGCCTCGCAAGGAAATACCATTTATAATCCGCTTCCTTTGACATCCCGTATGAAAACCAGCGCTCTAAGAGAACGAAACAAATGGACACTCAAGTCCATTTGTTTCGTTCTCTTCGAGCGCTGGTTTTCAAACGGGATGTCAAAGGAAACATCCTGTATGTGATTGTGAGTACAAACATTTTAATCATGACTTCAGTATTCTTGCGTTTCTTTGCTTTATCTAACTGTGTTACGGTATGATCCGCTTCATAGTTTTTGTTGCAAGTGTGGGAAAGACTCTCTTTCTCTGAGCTTGATTTATGTATTTTTAGTTCACATGATGCCTTAGAGTTGAATCGCTTGCATTTTGCTTGACTTGTTTTGTTGCTTTATGGCAACGAGACCGCTCACACAATGGCACGCTTAATGCAATTAGGAGTTTAGAAATGTGAGTGAGAGTTTTAAAAGGCTTGCGAAGGCAACATGAATGAAATCGAGAGCGGCCAGATTGTGGTCTGGTCTGAATGATCTTGTCAATATGCTGCAGAAATCATGAAATTATGATAAGGGCAGTCGACCCACTCTGGTTCCTTTTAGTTCAGTTCCTCGTTCTTACCACTAGTTTTACATCCCAGTACTTAATTTAAGAGAAATCAGAGCCGTATTGTTACATTAGGTTTGAATTTCTTTTAGATGTCACACTTTGTTTACTTTGTTGCCCCCAGCACAACTCAACCCACATTTTTGCACAATCCCACCTTGACTGGTTCTTGAAGAATGCTCACTGTACCGTGAAAATCTTGAGCAGGGTAAAGACACATTTGGATGTTCAAGATCTTCAAGTGAGTTCACTGCAAATCTTTTTGTTTAACAGTGAAGTGGTGTATTTTTTTTTTCTTGGAGTTCAATGTTCATAATAAGTTTCTGTACTATGTGCTGTAAATAAGATGTCTGATTTCTTAAGCTGTTGGGAACGGGAATACACAGGTGAAGGTCGCATCTTGAAATAAATCAAACAGGTAAACATGCCTCGGGACTGCCTGTGCTGTTTCTGGTCTGCACTTCAACATTTTTATAAACAGGATGTTGTTCACAAACATTCTCTGTGTACATTAAATGTACACTATTATCACATTGTATCAGCAACTGGGTTTTATAATAAATCTTTCATTAGAGTAGTCATATTAAGAATGGCGGGATGCTCCTTCAATTCCATTTAATAGTTGTAAATATACAAAATCTAAATTAAAGATAATTTGATAATTTAAAAATATTTTTTAACTATAATAATTAAATTCTATATTTAATAATATTTGAGGTTAGGTATATTAAGTGCATTAAAGGGATAGTTCACCCAAAAATGTAAATGTTGTCATTATTTACTGCCATTCATTACAGTTTATTTATTGTGTTGAATATAGAAGATATTTTGTTGATGGAAATAGTTGATGGTCGCCATCGACTTCCATAGTATTTCTTTCCCTACAATGGAAGTCAATGGGGACCAACAACTGTTCTTCAAAATATCTTCTTTTATGTTCAACATAAGAAAGAAACATGCAGGTTTGGAACAGCATGAGGGTGAGTAAATGATGACAAAATTTTCATTTTTTGGGAAAACGTATTGCTTTAAGTTAATTACCACAAAAAAATAATAATTTTGGAGGATTTAAGTGCATAAATGTAAAGGTTTTATAAAGCACTAAAATTCTTCTGTTAAAACTTGTGTATTATTTGCGCTGTAAAGCTGTTTAAATATTTTAGGGTAATTTTAGGATTGATAGTTACATTGTCATGTTAATTAAAGGGATAGTTCAGCCAGAAAATAAAAATTCTGTCATAGTTTAATAAACCTCAAGTTGTTCCAAACCTGTATGATTTTTTTTGTTCTGTAGAACACAAAAGAATATGTTTTGAAGAATGTCGGAAACAAAACAGTTGATGGTAGCCATTGACTTTCATAGTATGGGGACCAGCAACAGTTGATGACAGAATTTTCATTTTTGGTGAACTGTCCCTTTAAGTAAAATTGTAATTTCACACAAAGAATGTTAGTAAAAGATTTTTTCACATTAAAATCGTGTTAAAATGTATATTGTTTATGTCTTGGGCTTTACTTTCGAAAGCGTGTGAATTGTATTTTATCACTGTGTTGTATTTTCTCAGTGCCTTGCGGTAGCCGAGAATTTGACATTATTTAAAGGAAGAGGAAGGACAAGTGGAAATGATGCCTTGTGCATTTCTTGTAATCAACACTTTTCCGTCGATTGAGTTTACCTTGAAATATTACTTTCATGTTTTGACGATGTAATGCTTATTTCAACCAGAAGAGGCCGATAGAACTTAAGCCATTCGTTTCTCTTCATCCGCAAACCCTTCCTGTCTCAAAGGAAACTGGTGCGATGCTGATGAGACCGGTGCTGATTAAAACACACACACACGACAATGACAAACACAACAACGTACATTAAGTATTTTTTTCAAAAATAACCGAACCGTCATTTCTTAAGTTAAAGAAGTAGTAAATTAAAACAATATGATTAGCAAAAGAACTAGCCAATATCTTCATATAAAGAAACTTGAGGGAGATAGTGTGTATTACAGCCTAGAATAACAAGTATTGTGCTAATTAGGTTTAAATGTTACCTGCGCAGTACAGTTGTTGTAACGCCATGTGCCTGAGGTTGGAATGACTTGAATCAAGCTCATTCAATCCACATGATGTCATTCTCTCTCCTTTGGTGAAGTATTGTGTGTTGTATCTTCTCTGGCCAGTGTTAAGTGTTCAGGAGGTTGAGAAAGGGACTGAGGGTATTGTTTAGGGGCCGTCGGATGAGATGCTGTCATTCTGGCCTTTTGTTTTTTGTTCAGAGCAATGGCGAGAAATGACAAACAAGACTATGGAGAGTTTAGGGTGACCGGAGGAACCCTGGGCTTCGGTGAGGTCATTAGGAACAGAAACTGCAGGGCGGTCGTGGCATTTCTGTGTCTTAGTGTACCGGGTTACAGTTTGTGAATCAATTGGGAGTAAACTGAGAAACTGATGCAATAAAATCATACGAGTTGTTAATAGCTATTCCCCAGAGAGCAAAGTGTTTTTTTTTGTTGTTTTTTTTTTGATGTCTTGCACACTTTATTAGTGGCTTTCCTTGGAAATGCTTGTCATTTTTAACGCATCATCATTCTCTTTTTTGTTGGTGACAAAGTTTCTCTGAAATTTGTATTAGATCTCTGTCTTTCTCATCCTCTCCCTGTAACCATGGTAACTGCCTGGAAATAGGCTAGGAATGGTAGAGGTGGTTGCTGTTTTTAGTAATGGCCAGAATTTGGGTCATAATATCTGTATATCAGTCTATAAATTCCACAGTGTTCCAGATAACTTATTTCATTAATCAGAGTGATTCCCTGGCCAGCCCTTTTCAAATGTGGCTATGGGCGATTCTTCGCATGCTTGCGAGCACAGCTCCTCCGAGACCCTTCAGAGGAGACAAAGAGATCTCACTGCTGCTGGTGCACCAGTCTGAGGTCTTTGGTTTGCTTTTTTCCTCCAGGATGGAGAACATTAAAATGATCTTCTGGTACATAATGTCTCTGAAGTAAATTGGTAAATGGTTTATGTATGCTGATACAATGCTTTAGATCTATTTAAAGAGATACATGTTCTCTCTCACTCAAATCAGCACGTTTAAGATGTGAGGTGAGGGCCCAATTTTAACCGTGTCATTTTCACACATTGCAATTGTTGAAACTGTGAGTCCCTGTCGTTGATTTGTGGCTTACAAACCATACTGAGCAGGTTTCACTTCATAATGTACATATTCCCAGTTTTTTCAAGTACAAGACAACAAATATATGAACATGAAGAATCAGTTTTGTTGGAGCTTTTTGGCTCTCTCCGTGTGGCACAGTTTCCTCAGTGTAATATATGTGACCTTGTGCTTGTAAAAGGCACTTTGAAAGACTGACAGTGAAGAACAATACTGAGCTACAAGTAAGAGTGCTGTAAAATTTTCTTTATTAAAACGAGAAATTAATATTGAGCAACATTTTAGAAACAATATTATCAGTTACTTTCTGTGCTTTTTCTTTAATGAATATAGTCCTAAAAGAAGTCAAACTGAATTAACTGAAATACATAGTACTGGAATTTCTTTCCTGAATGAATCAGTTTCTGAATGAATTGTTTGGCTGATTCAAATGACTCATTCATAAAGTTAGTCATAAAGGTAGTTTTGTTGCTCAGTGAATTTGCAATTGAACAAATCAGTTGAGTAACTGATTCAATGACTCACTCATAAAGGCGGTAATTTGTTGGACACTTTACTATCCCATGGGGCCATGGGAGAGGATTAATGAATGGCAGTGAAGCAAAGCAACTGACGCTGGTAGGTTAGGTGATAATAAAAACATGGCGGATGTAATGTGTCCAAATTTGATTCATACTACTCATATTCATACTATATAGAACATACTTTTTTTAACAGTCATGAATTTTGAATTCAAATGTAGTACTTACTCAGACAGTATATGATTTAGGCAATCATTTGTTTTTCTTTCCTGAATGAATCAGTGTTGCTGAATAAAATTATTGGCTGTGATTCAAATGACTTATTCATAAATGCATTCATTTGTTTTGTCGCTCAATGAATTAGTGCTATTGTACAAATCAGTTGAGTAATTGATTCAATGACTCACTCATAAAGGCGGTAATTTGTTGGACACTTTACTATCCCGTGGGACCACGGGAGAGGATTAATTAATGACAGTGAATCAATGCAACTGACACTGGTAAGTTACGGGATAGAAACAACATGGAGGATGTAAGTCCGAATTTCATTCATACTACTCATATTCACACAATATAGAACATACTTATTTAACAGGACACACCGGCAGTCATTTGTTTTTCTTTCCTGAATGAATCCGTGTTGCTGAATGAATTGATGGGCTGTGATTCAAATGACTCATTCATAAAAGTAGTCATTTGTTTTGTTGCTCAATGAATTAGTGCTATTGAGCAAATCAGTTGAGTAACTGATTCAATGACTCACTCATAAACGCAGTAATTTGTTGGATACTTTACTATCCCATGAGGCTGTTGGAGAGGATTAATGAATGGCAGTGAAGCAGGTTACGTGATAGTAACAACATGGAGGATGTAATATGTCTGAATTTCATTCATGCTACTCATATTCGCACTATATAGAACATACTTTTTTAACAGTCGTAAAGTAAGTTCAAATTCAAATGTATTACCTACTCGGACAATGCATGATTTAGGACGCACCAGCAGTCATTTGTTTTTCATTCCTTAATGAATCAGTACTTGAATTGGTTGACTGAATGATTCAATGACTCACTCATAGTTCAAATGCTATTGAACGATTGGTTTGGGTAATTAATTCAATGAGTTACTCATAAAGCCAGTCATTTGTTTAATTCCTGAATAAATGTGTGTTTAAAAGAATCGGTTGAGTGTTAATGATTCAATGAAACATGAAACTCTCTCTCTCTCAAAAAAAAAAAACATTACTTGTTTCAAACAGTCACTTGTTTCATCCCCGAAAGAATCACTATTATAAAACAAATCGGTTGACTGAATGATTCAAATGACTCACTCATAAAGGCAACCACTTGTTACCATCCTCCGGCATAAAAACCTGCAGAAAGCCTTTGAAAAATCCCCACCACTAATGAAATGCTTGTTTGAAATGCTCTAACACAGACAGCCGCAGTGATGCAAACAGTGAAAAGTCCCATTCTTCTGGGCTCAGATTAGAGAAGCAGATGACTACGCAACTATGCTAAACAAGAAATACACAAGAAATTAAGATCATCAATGCTGTTTTATTCTTCAAAACCTTAAATTCAGTGGAGGAAAAAGTAGGTGAGATAGAATCTAAATGATCTAAATATAATATGACCGTGAGAGAGAGATGGAGAGACAAACCGCAACCAGCTATTGTTGTGATCGCCTGTGTGTGTGTGAGTGGGTGACACGGCGTGGGTGGAAAGGTAATGGCTTTGA